AAAAAATAAACACATCTTAGTAAAACCAATAGCTTCTCAGCTTCGCATCGAAGCTAAAATGTTGAATATAAAAGTAACTCTGAAAATATAGAGAATATATGTCAACGTGATAATCATTATACAAATAATATAAATATTATTGATAATATAGAAAACAAAAATAATGGGGATAATTATATAAATTTATGTAATACTTCAACTCATGATAGAAATTTTAATGATGAGGAAACTGAAGAAAATTATGAAAATGAAAGAAAAATATTTAGATTTTATACTAATGAAAGTCATGACAATAGAAATGATAAATATGAAAGAAATATTGAAAAATATGAAAATAATTTATATTATAATATAATTGGAAAGCAATAATGGCCTTATGATAATAATTCTCTCATCAATAATATTGAAGACATAGAGTTTTCAAATAACATAGATATTATAAAATATCAATCTGAAGATAAATTTTGCTCAGAATTAATAAAAGCTATAAAAGGACAAGATGTTCCAAACAAATTTAAGAAAATGTCTAAAAGATATACATTAATAAAAGATATATTATATTTAAAACAATATATACCAAAACAAAATATGAATAATCTATTAGTAGTACCACAAGCTCTCNTAACTATTGTTGCGCCATGACACTCCTAAATTAACGGTTGGCGTCAATAGCTAATAAGGATCATGTGGACCGACAATACTTAAAATACAATTAACTACATTGTNATCATGATATTCCACTATCATCTCACTCTGGAATTAGTAAAACTATAAAAAAAATACAATTAAGATATTTTTGGCCTAGTCTCATTAAAGATGTGACAGAATATATAAAAACTTGTCATTTATGTCAAATTAATAAACCAACATGATGTTTAAATCCAATTCCATTACTTATATGTCAACCTTTACAACGTTTAACTGGAGATTTTCTAGGTCCATTACCAAGCGAGTAATGGTAAAAAATATATTTTAGTATTTACATGTCAAAGTTCAAAATATGTCTTTACAAAAGCAAAAAAAGCAGCTGACTAATTCTGTCATTAATTTTTTAATAAATTTCATTAGTTTATATGGTGTACCTCGTATTCAAACATTTGATCAAGGAAAACATTTTAAAAACAATGCATTAGCAGAAGTTTGCAAAAATTTTGGTATTAAGCAAATATTTTCATCTTAGAGTTATATCTAAATTAAATGATGTTAATTATATAGTAGAAATAGAATTAAATAAAAAACTAATAGAGGATGTCATTCATATTAGGCGAATGAAACCATATTACGTTAAACAAGAAAGCAGTCAAACACAAATAGAATCCTCACCCAAAGATCATTAAATATGGTAAAATCGAAATAAATTTTTAAATTACATTTACTAATCTTTATTTAAACATCATCACTAAAAATGAATCTATATAGATCTTCAGGAAACATACCAATAATTATTATAATACTCTTTCTTTTTCTTCTACAATACTCTAATGCATTCATTGCTTATGCTTGTGATGGTCCCAAAAATATAACTTCATTCAGTACACTATCAGTAGGTGATTGCCAAGCTCCAACACCTTCAAATATTACCAAAATTCCAATGATAAAATTATTACAACGCAAAGAAACTCATGTAATACAGTTTAAAGCATGCTATATTTTAGCAGATTATATAATAACAAAATGTAGCTTATTATTTGATGCTCAAATGGTAAGCTCAGGATTTTATTCGGAAATAATAGATTTATCACCAATAGCATGCGAAGACATACATCAAAGATTATCTTTTCAAATCAATAATAATGTAATAATAAATAATTTAAAAATAAATCAAACAAAATATTTCTCAGCTACAATAGCAAGATCAATAAGTGCAGATGGAAACTGTGACGGTCAAACTTTTTCAAATGAAAAGAATACATGGCATAATGTTGTTGTACAAGCAAAATATAAAGTACGTCTAAGTGACGGTATAGCTATTGCTGATTTTAAAAATGACATATTAATAACACCATCTGGCACTAGATTAAAATTATCCAATTTTCATGGAATAGACGCATTGTTAGTAAATATTCAATGGGATCATTTTACCCCACAAAATTATGAAAATTGTTATTCTGATGAATTTGATACTATCTATGAAGGACCAGTAATTTCAAAAAAGAATAATCAATCAGAAGAAATATACACCTACATAGTACAAAATGATAAATATGCTTTTGCTTTACAAAAAACAGATTTAGCCTATGCTTGCACTATAGAAGTTATAACAACACCACATCCTAGATTAGTAATTCTTACAGATACTCCCTACATGCAATTTTTCAAAACAAAATCAATTTCATATTACAATGTAGATTTATTAGCTTATCTCAACACAAAAATAGTTTATATAGAACATATCATAAGTACTTCCATAAACGCTATGTATACAGACTTAGTTATGAAACAATGCAATTTAGAGAGACAATTACTTTTACAAAAACTATCTGTAGCTTAATATGATTTACCAGAATTTAGTTATATTATGACAAATTCTCCAGGTTATCAAGCTCTTAAAGTAGGAGAAAAGTTTACTTAATTAAATGTAGACCGGTAGAAGTAGAAATTGCAAAAACCACTAATTGTTTTAATGAATTACCTGTAATTTATCAAAATAAAACTCAATATTTAATGCCCAAGACTCATGTATTACTCAAATATGGAACTGAAATAGATTGCAATGACTTATTACCACCAGCCTATTTCTTAGAAAATGTTTGGTTCACTTTATCTCCACACTTTAAAGAAATTAATCCACCACAAATATTATTTCCTGAAACAGCATTCACTTGGTCACATGGAACACCTGATTATTTAATGAACGCAGGATTATATCCAAAAGATTTAATGCAAACTTTCCAAAAACATCTATTATTTCCAGCAGAAGTTGTAGCAGCTCAAAGTAATTTAGCTAGAGAATCAATGGGATACAGTATATACAATCAAAATTTAAAACTTAAATCTATCATCGATGAATATACAATAGAAAATTTAGTTGAACAAAAATTACAAAAATTATGGGGATTATTCACTGTAGTAGGGAATAGCCTACAATAGTAATAAATAATATCCTCAGGTTTTCTTGGAATTTTTTTAATAGGTAAATTATTATTAATAGGTGTCAATATATTAATAATTTCTCTATTTTATATGAAACTTTTGGATGTAGTTACAAAATATTAGCAGGATTATTCTTAAGTATCACTCATTATATGATGCATAAAAATCACACAAATAATTATAATAAAGTATATAAAAATGACATATTAAATAACTCTTATAAATCAGGAGAAAATATTGATGTTAATTCAGTACCAATAACAAAAAAATTTTTCACTGAATACTATCCAAAAAATAATAAGTTAAATATTTAACCTATCTTAGAGGAAACTTCTGTTATACAGCAAGATAGACCGCAAGCAATATGAATTATATTATAATTTTACTCACTATAATAAATATAATCAATATATTCCAATACTTCCATTTTCCATATATTACTATATATATGACGCTTAATCATATATAAATTAGCTTTAAAATCATTTTTTTTTGTTTAACCATAAATCAGTTAGTATACTTTTCAAACAAGCAACAGATGCGAACGCGGTGTACTAACAGAAGACATATTGAACAAACCCTCAATCGAAAAGATACTACAGTTATACCAACTCAATATATATAAAAAAAAGACAGGGATTTTTTTTTATTATATAAAGAATTTGTAATAGTAATTTAGAATAGTGGTGGGAATTTTCGTTCCTTTAGTGGAATCGTTCCTTTCGGTACAGTTACTTAAAAGTAACGTTTCCAAAGTACTCGGTACAACGGTACTTTTACTTTTTTGTAATTGAGTACCTTCATTGCGACCCGTTACCAAAACCAAACCAGTATTTATTCATCATATAAACAGTCGTATCTACGCGAGACGTTAGTAGATACAGTACATATTTTAAACCCCTGAATACGCCTATGCCATTTACTCATCAGGTAATATTTTAAAAGGCGCGAATGAATGCTTTTCGGAAAATGTTTAAATAAGAATTTTTTTTTTAGCAATATATATACAGAATTATTGATAGGCATAATATTAAATTTTGATGAAAAAAATACATACCATACCACAAAATAAATAAATAACCGTATTTTTTAGACACGTACAGAATAATATAACATCACTTAAAATTCGCCTTGACTATTATTTCCTTATTTTAATCNAATAACCGTATTTTTTAGACTCGTACAGAACAATATAACATCACTTAAAATTCGCCTGGACTATTATTTCCTTATTTTAATCAGTTATTTTTACTATTTATGCACAGTTAAACTTATTAATGTATGATGTATAATATTATAATAAATACAATATTAATTGTTCAGTTATGTATCAGAATATATTTCACTATATATGTATTTGTTTATGTATACAAATATATTTGTATAATCGACTAGACCAATGAAATATAAAGTATACCTAATTCGAATTATTTGGGCCTAGCAAATATGAGGTATAATCAATCATAACAGTTTAAACTATCATATTATTAACCAATATGTTTAATAACATACTGTTTTTTATATATATAAATATAATATAATATTTATACATATATATATATATATATATATATATATATATATATATGCAAGATTAAAAATATCTTCAAAACAATATTAATATTAAATATTTTCAATCTTTTCTTAAAATTTTAAATCATTTATAACATAATTTCGTTTAATTATTTAACTATATAAAAAACGTCTTCTAAAATTCTTAATAAAAAATTACTATTTAAAAACAGTAACATTTCTGAATTTTTAACTGTAAGTCTATTACGCCTTTCAGTTATTGTGTATCCCGCTTTAGAAAATGTCCGTTCGCACAGGACAGAAGTTGAAGGAACACATAATCTCAACAATACAAGATTAAATAAGTTAGGAAACATCATTTTCCTCTCATTCCATCATAATAAAGAATCCGACTTTCTTTCTATTATAGGCTCATTCAAATATCTATCTAACTCAAAAATCGCTTCACTAGTAGGAGTTTTTTTTGATAAGGTTACCACCTTAAAAAATTAAAATATTTGATTAAATAACATAATAAATAAATAAACTTTTTTGTTGTTATACCTGAGAGTCAAACTATTTCCAAATGTCTACTGCTTCAGTTTCACTTTGACTATTATCGTTCGCGTGGTCCTGTTGTTCTATATCTGTTTGATGTATTTCATTCTGTTGCTTTGACAATAAATTTTCAATAAAATACTTTAAAAGACCAAAAAATAGGTTAAAAATCATATTATAGATTTAGATAATAAACACCAAGTATAAAAAAAATTTTAAATCATAGAGAGCACAATCGCGAGATATTCTGGTTCAAAGNACTGGTTGATCTTCAATACCTTGAAATTTTTTTTCGGCTTTGGTGATCATTTTGGCAAGCATTGTATGAATTACTTCGGGTAACTTAATATCATTAAATTTATCTTTAATATGACACAATAATACATTTGTTAAAATTAATACTTTGGATATTGACACACCTCTTTCACTACTCAGTTCAATAGTAATTTCTTTAAAGGGTTTAAAAATATCACAGTAGTATTGCATTATAACACAGTCTTCATCAGATATATTCTCAATATTACCTAAAATTGTTACTGAAAATATTATTGATTCTTTCATTAGAATACATCTCTCAAATATATCGTATGTAGAATTCCACCCCGTAGTTATGTCTTGAATGAGTTTTAAATCCGTATAACCCATTTGTTTTTGCATATTTTTTAATTTACTGTAAGCCTGAGAACTACGTTTAAAATGTTCAACTATGCGTTTAATTTTTTTATGGACAATTTGTATTGCATCTAATCCTCTTTGAGCAATAGTATTAATACTATGAGCTAAGCAAGGTATATGACACTAATTTTTATTCATATTTATGGCAGCTGTAATATTAGCGGCAGTGTCACTTACTGCAATTTTAACTTTTTCAGTTATTTCCCATTCTTTAAAACAATTATTTAAAAAAATTGATAAATTATTTGCCCTATGCGATTTTTCAAAATAATAACATCCTAGTAAAAAAGACTTTAAAGTGCATTCATTTTTGTCAATATAATGAATAGTTAATGCAACAAAACTGTCATTATTAAGGGATGTCCACCCATCAGTTGTAAATGCAATATAATGCCAATTAATTAAATTCGTTTTAACTTTTTCTTTAGCTTTTGCGTATAATTGTGGCAAAATTGATTTAGATAAAGTTTTTCGTGAAGGTAATTTATAGCTAGGGCTCAATAAATTAATTAATTTTTGAATTTCAATATTTTCTACGAGGCTTAATGGTTGAAATTCTTTTGCAACCATTATCCCTAATTTCTCGTCTATAAGTTTTTGTTTAGACAGAGAAAGTGGTCAATTAATAAAAGAATATACACTTGTATGTGTAGGACAATTCTTTGATATATTTTATATATTAGACGACGTTGATGGTTGGTTCGAACTAATTAGCTGTTGTTGTTTTGTAGATATATCATCTGGTTCATCTACATTTTGATCCAAATCAACGTGTTTTCTTTTCCTAGCTTCAAGTTGAACAATATGTTTTCTTTTTAAATGTTTTAGAAGATTGGCTGTTGAATCTCCCTTATAAGAAAAAGTATTAGTGCAGTATGAACACTTGGCTTTTTCATCACATATGACCGAAAAGTGGTTCCATACTACACTCGTCTTTTTATCTATTGTATGTACAAAATATAATTAAATAGTAAACTAGTATATTATTTTAATCAAAAACTGAAAATATACGCACGCAGTACCTAAGCGTCACACTACATAGATAGGACAAAAACAATAAAATGAAGGGCAGAATTGAAAATTATAAAAGCGATAAGAGTTATAAAAGGTATTTTTAATATTGTTAACACAAGGGAGCAGCTCATAGAAGAATTCAAAACAACAACATATCGTTAATAAAAAACTAATGAAACGAAACTAATACCAAATCTTTTTTTTCTTTTTAATATCTCATAATGCTCAAAAAAACCTGACTTCATTAAACTTATACAAGCTGGATTTGATGGTATATTGTATATAATTTTGTAAAATATTATTATTTTGTTTTAAATGCATAAATAGTTGTATTTTAAAGTAGTGAATTAGGTACTTAATTAAAATTAAAGAAAATAATAATTAAACGATTAAAAAATAAATAAAACATCTAATGCATATTTCTTTGCTTATACCTATTTGAATAATTTGGTTATAAGTTATAAATGTATTTAATGTAATCGAAAAATACTCAAAATCATTAAATATAATCGATTACTTTTATTAAACGAATAAACGATACTAATTTCGAGTAAAATTTCAAGAGATTCTCTCCATAGACAAGTATACTCGATCGATTATTTCGATTACTAATAATTCGGAATATGCTCATCACTAATTTAAAATATATGAATGGATACGATTAGCAGCTTTAAAATTGGTGGTATACGTTTTTTAAGTAATTAAAAAACCAAACGCTAGTTTTCCATCACTGTAAGAAGAGGGCAGCCTAGTCAATGGTTGGTCAAATGGACAGTTACTGAAGGTCGTAGTTACACAATCCCGAACAAGTAATAACTACTCAAGTACTCTTTAGTCACTACAGTAATCATTTTAGAATCAACTGTATTTTGTACCGACGGAATGATAGTGTAACGACCAAATGTAATCGGTCCTACTCGTTCCATCAATGTACTCGTTACTTTGTACCGATTACACGAGTACCGACCCATCACTAATTTAGAAATGTTAACAAAACCATAAATATTTTATTTCAGATTTAACAAATAACTATAACCAAATGTTTATTAATAAATTAACATAATTTGCTGAATACAAAAAATATAATCAAATAAGAGAAATAGAAAAATGTCAATTTATACTAAATTTTGATTTTTTTAAATTAATAATTGAACAAGATTTGGAAGAAAATGAAATTGGTTATGATATATCAATCTTTAAATATACAAACCCCTCCTAATTAATTTATTAAGAAATAAGTTTAGCTTTCTTAACATAGATATTTTATTACCAAAATATAGAAATATTTTTAGTTCAATAAACTCTATTACTTTTAATTTCACTGAATATTACATAGAACGAATCAATTTTAGAATATTATTTCATCCTTATAATAATAACTGTTTAGAAAATGTTCCTGAAACACAATTTATACCTGGTAGAACTTGTTCTATAAATATAAAAATAAATGCCAATTATTGGTATAAAATTCTTAATAGGAACAAAAATTGTATGTGCTGTTTTGGTTGTAGTTGTCAACTTTATACATGAACAAATTAAAATAATATTTATTATTAGAACTAGATCAATAAATAAGTAAATTTCACTTTATTTTTGATAATTATATGTATTAAAATCATTATGTAACCACTATCTATGTAAAATTAAGAACTAATTTTAATATGATAATTTAATAGAAATATATGTATGTGTTTATGCACATAACATACAGATACATACTAATTTACATATTATTTAAATGTAAAAATGTATTTTACATCTGCTCATAATTAATGTGAAAGGAAACACAACAATTAAAGTATATAATACAATAAAAAAAAAAAATAAGGTCTGGAATAGGAATTNAAACACAACAATTAAAGTATATAATACAATAAAAAAAAAAAATAAGGTCTGGAATAGGCTAGAAATTGCTATTTTATAGGCCTGTTTTACGAGGGGGAGAATTAATGTTTTATATTTTAATTGCAAAATGCTTCTTATTGGCTAGTTAATTAATTTAAAGAGACCTATGCGCAATCTATTGTTCTACTAATTTACGTTAAGATTTCATACATGTATTGTTGTTTTGTATCTATCATCTCCCATTATAATGTAGTTTATTAAAAAAAAATTCATCATTAAAAAAATATAAATAAAATAAAATTATAAGTGATAAATATCTATTACATCAGCTAATTTAATTTTTATAAAATATATCAATTGCCTCTTTTGTTTTTTTAAAATGAATTTCAATTTTATCCCGTACGCTTAATGACATTGCGTTATTATAACTATATATTTTAATGTAATTATTAGATTGAACATTTTCCATGAAAATTTTTAAAAATATTGTAATAGAAGGATGCGCCTTATAAAATTGTTCATTAAAATGTGAATCGAACGATTCACAATTATTTGTTACCGGTATATCAATGACCAAATTTTTGGAGGACATTTGCTTTCCTCAGAAATATAATTGTAGAATAATTAATCAGCATACTCAATAAAAGCTCTTCCTTCAGGTATTGATGTCGCAAAATCATCAACGAAACAATCAGACAAATATTTTTACCAGTGGTTCTCAAGCTTTTATTTATCGGTCTGGCGGAAACGAAAAAACGACCTTATTCAGGTTTGCCGGAAACAATGAACGCCCGTAGTGTGTCGTAAACACATTAACGGTAGACGACACAAGTCTGGTTTCTTTTAAAACACTTGTTAAATCGTTTGTTCATTTGCGACGTGCGACGTGCGTCGTCGTCTGCATCACACTTGCTGGACTTTGTGCCATGGCCTAAAGGACTTGGTGTTGGTCAGTCAAACTACTATTTTTAAGCAGTAAGACGTCAGCTGATAAACATGGTGCATGTCACAGAGCTTGGGACATATACCCGACGTGCTTAGCGGTAATACCGTGATTAGTAGCCGATGTGTACCCGAAGACATTCATCGAATTCTCATTGGATTTTTATGACATTGCTGTCTCAGTCACGGATTGTTTATTATCAATTATGATTATCAATAGATATACTTTCTGTATTGTCAGTTAGTGTATTTATAAGCTCACAACAATGTGCCTTACTACAATTGATAATAACAATGCTGTGTATCTGCTAATATCGATGTTATAAAAAACCAATTAGCTACCTATATTTGTAATCCCTTCTGTATTATACCTGTATATTAATTCAAAAATTTGAAACTTTAAATGTTTATATCTAATAAACAAATTAAGTTTTATTAAAAATTCAAATTCCATTTACTATTAAATTAAAAACTCAAACATTTTATTAAATTAAAAATATGTGTTACCATTTAAAAAAACAAAGTTGACACCCTTACCATGCATAAGGGATGAACTTAAAAAGTATTACATAGTTAATAATTCAAGAATAATGTGTAACTAAAAATAATAATAAAAAAAAATGTTTAAATTATTATTATTATGTAAGTAATTGAGTGGGTTATGATAAAAAAATCACCCTGTATTGTCTAGCCCAGTGGGTTGGCGACTCTTTCTTTATGTATTTTTCAATGCGCTATGAAAGTTACAAATTTTCTGTTGTGGCCATTAATTTTATATTCGTAACCTTTCAAAGTGACGACCCCGTCAAGATCTTTGCGATTTTGCTAGGCTTACCTTTGTTTTCATTTATTCTATATTTAGTTATTTTTATGTTTTCGTAAATTTTTTCAGTTGTTTTCGTTGTATAGTAGTGTACATTATACCTTTTAATTTTCTTATAAGCGTTATTATTCAATTTAATTTTAAATTTCATGTTATAAATTTGAAAATATTTTATTAAAAGTATTTTTCACAGCTTTGCAAACACACAAAACTGTAAGTGTACATAAATTATCTTCAGCTGAGTCATGCAGTTATTATAGAATTTCATACTTTGTTAGAATATAATTTAGAATATCTTTAGAAATACTTTTTTAATTATTATTTAAAATCTAAAAATGATTTAATTTTTTTAAATAAAATATATTACTCAGCCCCAAAGAATCAATAATATTGCCAACAAATTTTAAATACTTATATTTTTTATTGTAAAATTCTTTTTATTCTCGAAAAGCATTCCTAATAATTGGGAATAATTTATAACATAATTATTATGTTATGATTGTAATGTATTTATTTTTAATTTAGAACCCATTAAAGTATTTGAGTATTGAAGACTATATAAATTTAGTTTTATTAATATTTTTGTTAGGTTTTAAAAATATATTCAGGAAAGTATTTCACCCTAGTATGTTGAATTATAACTTTCTACACGACGTTGAAAAAACAATTTTTAATTATAAAATTACAAATAATAAATAAATATATAATTTTTTTCATATCATAGATAATTTATTACAAATTACATTTATAATAATTAAGTAATTTTCATAACATTAATCCAAACTATACATTTTAGAAATTTATCTTTAGATTTACAGAGCTTAAATTAAAAACTGTTTAATCATATTAATACACTGGTTAACTTAATTGTAATTTATCTGGAGATGCATATGATTTTCTACAGAATCAACTTTTAATTTTAGCGATATTAAATGTTTTGAAGTTC